AGCCGCCGCTTCCCCGCCGACGGCTTTTCGCGCTTTTCCGTCACGACTTCTCCAGGAAACGAGGCCTCGTCGCCGAGCTTCACCGTGCCGCCCCCCAAAAAATTTCCGCGTCCATTTCTAAAGACCAATCATCAAGGTGTGCAATGCAGCGATACGGACAAGACGTGACCTCCGCCAACCTCAAGGCGCTTTGCGGCTCGGATGACGTGAAAAGCTACTGGAGCGACTTTTTCATCACGTTGCTGTTTGGAGTGAGACGACTCTTCTGCGACCGGTGAAGCCGCCGTCTTGGTTGTGGACCCCCCCGCCCCCCAAAAAATTTCCGCGTCCATTTCTAAAGACCAATCATCAAGGTGTGCAATGCAGCGATACGGACAAGACGTGACCTCCGCCAACCTCAAGGCGCTTTGCGGCTCGGATGACGTGAAAAGCTACTGGAGCGACTTTTTCATCACGTTGCTGTTTGGAGTGAGACGACTCTTCTGCGGGAAGGGAAAAGTCGCAGTCCCCGCTCACGGTTTGACTTGGGTTCGGGGAACTGCGGCGCCGCGGCGGCGAGTCTGGCGTCGGTGACCATCTCGGAGAGTCTTACCTGCGTGTCGCCAGCCAATTTCTCTTGTCCCGCGCGCGCTGCGTGGGAGTCGTGCGGCCGCTGACTGCCGCTGAATTGATTTCTGGCGGCCGGCGGAAACCGCGCACTGCCTTTGCTCAGTCAAGTCGCTTACTGGAAGAAACGTGATGACGTTCCAATTCGATGCCATATCGAGTTTGCCCAGTCACTTCGGTGCCAGTCACAACAATGGCAAACGGGTCGTTTTCTTCATTTCCCAATGCTTTTGGTTTTTTTTCTTTTTTTTTCCTTATTTTGCTCGGAGGGTTGTAGAAAAAACGAATGGCATGCCTTGGACTGATTTACAGCACCGATATGCAGAAAGCTTGTCTTAAGAAATGTGTCGCTACCTGGTTTTTAGTGGGCCAGCCAGGACACTCGCAGCTCGGATGCACGCTCATGCGAGCGTTGCTTGCTTTTATCATTCGTCAAAAGCTCTTTGAAAGACATTTATTTGAAAAAGACACAAAAAAAAAAACCTTTCAGGTTTTATCTGATGGGTCAAAGTCCAATAAAAGCACACCGTTTCAGATCGCCAATGCGATATGCATGGGCCATGGCAATGATATTTTTCAGATATATTGTGCATACACAGGGATGCATCTCTCTCTCTCTCTATATATATACACCGTAGTTAAGAGAATCCCGTGGAAAAAGGAAGAGCAAGAAGAGGCAGGAGGCGGACGTGTTGATCCTGGCATTTATTGCGACGCGCTCCCCATTCCAATAAACAGCATCAGTAGTAGCGTCCACTTGAATGTCCACAAAACACGCGCGCCAAGCACAACGGAGACATGACAATGCACAGGTTGTCCGGGTACAGTACTGGAAGGAGGCTCGGGGGTTTGGTCCTGCGCCGCGGGCGTCGTGACGACGGAGCTCGGCGGCGCCAAAGAAAGACGGCTGCGAAAAGACAGCCTGCTGACAAACTTCTCAAAATCCAGCCCGCTATATTTACATCCAATTGTTTGCAAAAAACAATGTCATTTCTATGCTAGTAGGTACATCTCTTGGTGAAGAAAACCTGTTCCTGCGCAAACAGCACCGTCCCTCCAATAAATATGTCTGCATTCAATGCTATCTATATACATGGACTATACATTGTTGTACATACATTGTTGTGTTGTGTGTTTATTGCAGTCAGATGCATGGAGGTTGTGAGGAAATCCGTTGTTGTTTTGCTGCTACTGGATTTTTTTTTGTTTTTGCTCGTCAGCCTTCAAAAACATCGTTTTGCTCATTGCTAAATGATCGCAAATAAGCAAAACGAAGGTATGAATGGAAGAAGTGGGCAGAAAGAGCGAGCGTCCGTATTCAAGTATCGAGTGTGAATTCCGCTCGCGATAAACTCGGCATGGAAACTGGAGTTCAGAGCATTCCGTTTCAAATACTTTTCAAATGTCAACTAATGGATCCTTCATTGTCGAAATAAATGCAACGGAGGCGCCCGTTTGAAGTGAAACGTCGTGCAAAGGGCTCAGTTTCAGCTGCGCCTGCTGTCAAAGCGCGAGAGAAATAAGGATGGATGGGATCGGATGGCGTCCAAACGAGGAATGTCGCTGAGCGCGTCGGCGGGCTTACGCGCTAGCTAGCGACCCGCTCGCGATGGCGGCGACAAGGTCCAGATGCTAAGCAAAAGGCTGCCGGACACTTTTTGGAAAATGGGCTAAGCTAAAGCGAGTCGTGGCGGCCTATTTCTCCATCGTTTTATTTTTTCTTTTTTTCTTTTTCAGGAGGACTGAACTTATTCTGCTCCCTTTTTCTCCCCTTTGTCCTTTTTGACTTTTAAAAAATAACATCCACCAATCGTCATAAAGCTAAAAGAAGGGAAGGACGATCAAGGGGTTCAGAACATTCCGGTCGCAACATAACTTTCTAAAAATATAAATGGACTAATTCATCGCTAATTTGTGTCCCAGTAAATCGTAAATTGGATCCGCGCATTTGAGTGCGCTTTAGCCTTTAGCTGCTAAAATGCTAGCTACACGCTAAAATGTTCACGTGTGAGTAAAGCACAAGAATAGTTATGGCACGCGTTTGTGTCGTGCGTTGCTGTTGGTCACAAATTATCACTGAGGGAAGCTGAGGTTAAGCTAGCTCAGTGTGTGTGTGTGTGTGTGTGTGTGTGTGTGTGTGTGTGTGTCTCCAGTTTGCCAGATTTGGCTTTTTTTGCTTTAATACAAAATGACGTCCATTTGGTTTGTTCCCGATGTGAAATTCTTTTGAAGCATCGTAAAGCGCGCATGGTAAGTGTTGAAAACAAAAGTGACTGACGTTTGCAAAAATTTGTCTGTGACGGTTGACGAAAACGTGCGTTGGGTTCATTGAAGACTTAAAATGGTCGGCGGACACTTTGGCAAACGCGCCGCATGTTCGCTTCGTGCCTTTGATGTTTCATGAAAATGTGTACGTTGATGATGGAAATGCTTGTCTTTGATGTTTAGAAAAACGCCTACTTTAGTTTGGTTGGGGACTAAATTGTCTAAAAAAAAAAAACAACCCCCCCCAAAAAAAAACAAAAAACCAAACAAGCATGCTAGGGTTATTGAAGACGAAGCTGCCATTGATGTCGAAAGGTGTGTCCTTTTGCAATAAATATCTGTGAAAACAGGCCCGTTTGGTTTGCTCAAGACTAAATTGTCTTTGATGTTTTGCAAAACACGTCATTGTATTTGATGTTCGACAACAACGCCTTTGCTTGATTTGTCTTGTTTGCTTTGTTGCGGACAAACAAGTTGGATGTTGTCCAACGACCGTAACAGTTCACCCCCCCCGCAAAAAAAAAAAAAACACGCAACAAAAAACACATTTGGGTTTGTCCAACTGCAAGTGGCCTCCTTTGACGGAAACACACACACACTTCATTTGTCAAAGACATATTTGTCCTCGATTTTTGGGAAGCGCTCGAGTTTGGCCAAAGACTAAAATGTCTTTGATTTTCAACCAACACGTGAAGTTCATCGATGCCAAAATTAACGTTTCATTTCCAGTCAAGAGCCTTTGCTATTTATTGTTATTTAAAGCTAACACACAAGTTGCTTGATGAGTTGATGTCGAAGACTGATTTGTCTTCCAGGGTCTTTGATTTGTTCGTTGATAAGAGGCGACAATTCTGTATGTTCTGTTTCACATCCGGAAGGTTTTTTTTTTTTTTTTTTTTGGTTTTGTTTGGTGTCGTCGGAACATTTCCATTTGGGACAAATACAAAAAAAAAAAAAGATCCCTTGAAATCCTCGCGCCCTTCTTGAAATAACTGCTCGGCTTCCTACTTGCGACAGCTCCGTAACTCGAGGTAAAGTGAACCAGCACCTCTTTGTTTGTGTCTTTGATGAAAACGTTGTTGTTGTTGTTGTCGTCGTCGTCGGCGTGAGAAGACGCGGAAGGAACAGGCCGCTGTGCCTGCGTAGTCCCGTTGAGAGAAGGCGCCGCTCTCATCTCTCTACTTCCGAGGAGGCGGCGGGCCACCGGCCGTCGGTGAAGCCGCCGCGTCCCGACCGCCGTTTCCCGACCGCAGCGGCGTCCCTCGGGTTCCTGCGGGGCGCCGGTGTCGTTTTGCTGACCGGTCTCGATCGAGCGGCGTCTTGTTGTCGCTTCTCTCCGTTCCGCTGAGGCTTGCCGCCGTTTTTTGGCAGTTTCCCGCCGTTTGGCTCGCCGGCGTTTGGCCGTTGTTGACGCGTGGCGTTGGCCGTCAGCGTCTCCAACAACTGGGAGGCGGAACCGAAGCGTACGTGGTCCTCGGGCTGAGAGATAAGAGCGCCGCCGCCGCCGCGTGCGCCGCACGACTCGCAGCAGAGTTTGTTGTAGCCGGGGATGGAGCAGTAGCGAGCCAGGACCTCCATTTGGCAGAAGATGGACTTGTCTCCGTGGCAGGGCTCGTCTGAAAATCGAAGCGAAAACCATCAGAGAGAGCGAGGGTGGGCGGGTGAAGAAGCGGCAGGTTGATGGTCGCGATGAGGACGAGGACGAGGCGGCCGGCGTCCCGCCGAAAAAAGCACTTGAAGTCGCGCGCCATTTTTCTTCAAAGCAATTCATTTGGAGGCCGGCAGTAAAGCAAGAGGGCGGCCGAGACGCCTGAGGGCGCGGAGAAGAAAAGAAAAGAAAAGAAAAAGCAAGGAATGGGCGGGACGGGCTTTTGGGGCTAAACGGGGAGGGCCCGCCTCCAAAAGCATGAAAACGCTCCACATGTGAAGTGAAGCTGATGTTGGTGTGCGGCTACTGGACCGAGTCGCTCCACTTCACTTTCAAGTGGAGCGACTCGATGGCGACAGAAAAAAGAAAAAAAGAAAAGAAGAAAAGAAGACTACCTCCAGTCGGCCGGGCGTTTAGCATGCACGCACTTGTCGCGACCGCTGCGAGCGGATGTCGGCCGTGCGAAGGCGGCTCCTCACCGTGGCACGGTCCGGGCCGGCACACGCGCACGTTCTCCGGCTTGTCCCCGCCGCACTGCTCTCCCGTTCGGCAGCTGACCAGTCGCCTCTCCGTCCCCTCGCCGCAGCTGACGGAGCACTGCGCAAGCGGCGGACATCGCCGGCTCAGCCTCCGTTTGAGTCGCGACGCCCGCGAGCGTCGACGACTCAAAGCGAGGCCCGAGCGACGGCCCAAAGTGTCAGCCAAGTAACAAGAGTTTTGCCCTCCCCCCCCCCCCCCCCCACGCCCTTCAACCTAATTGAGCCCCAAGTGGAGAAAATGAGGATGCTAGCTAACCACTCCCCGGCGCTTCATGGAATCAACGGAACTTTTTTTTTTCCTTTTCTTGATTTGGATTTTCCACATTCTTCCTGGTTTGGAACAGTTTCCGGCTCAACGGTTTCCCGTTCGGGCGCTTTGCCGAAAACGAGACGGGAGGTCAATTTTGGAGGGAAGCGGCGGGCGCGCCCGGGTTACCTCGGACCAGGCCCCCGTCCTCCAGTGCGAGGGGCAGGCCAGGCGGTTGCAGGGCCGGCGGGCGTCGGGCCGCTCGCCGCCGCAGTAATGCGCGGCGGCTGGACGCAGCGCACCGTGCGCACCTGGAAGCCCAGGCTGCCGCAGGAGCGCGTGCAGTGCTCCCACTCCTCCGACACCCACCTGCGGGAAAAAGGGCCGGGCTGAGCGCGTGGCCGATGCGATGCGGCCGGACGACAGCTGTGACCCGAGCGCTACCGCTGCTACCAATGCTAACGCCAACACCCACGCGATGAGAACTGCCGCGATTACGACGCCGAGTGGCTTTCGAGTACGACTACGACTACGACAACGATGACTGCTACGACTCTTCTCGATGCTACCGCGACGGTACTCGCAACTACTACGACGCCGTGCGTGCGTCTTTACATCCGAGTACGTACGGTGCGACAAACCACATGGGGTGAGGTCATAGGTCAGACGAAAGGCCTCGAGGAGGACTTTTGCTACGGTCAAGCCGCCCCCCCCGCAAGGGATTTGACGGAGGGCTCCCGCGTGGGTGCGCCGCACTCACCGGGCTTGCGCGCAGTCCTGCAGGTTGCACATGCGGCGTATGGGCTTGGGCTTCTTGCCGACGTCACAGTAGCCCCTGTGGACCATCTTGGTGTCCCCTTTCTTCCGACAGCCGTACCTGGTGTACTGGTGGCCTGCGGTCATCGGGAGACGAAAGAAAGCGGCTCTCCTCTCGCTCGCAAAGGAAGTGTGAGTCGCTCACCTCCGGCGCAGGGCTTGGAGCAAGGGGACCAACTCTTGAGCGCCCACTCGTACGCGTCCTCCCGGATGACGTCGTTGTCGTTGACGGGCACCGAGTCTTCGTGGATGACGTACTTGTAGGTCAGAGTGGAGCGCGTTTCGTTGTCCTTGGGGATGATCTGGCGGACGGCGAGAGGCGTCGTTCCGGAAGGATCGCAAAGGGTGACGGCGATAGCGCGCGCAAAGTGAAAACACGCGTCAGTGATACTCGCGCTGATGCGGGAGACACCTTCGGCCTTTCACTTTGCGGAGGGAGCCGTCTCGTTTTTTTTCACATTACGGTAAAAGTGTCTCACCATCCATTGTCCCATCAAAGCGTTTCTTTTCAATTTGCCGCCTCAACTAAATCCCAACCTTGAAAGTGCCCGTCGGGAGTTGAAACCACAAAAAGCCAAGGCCGAGTCAAACGGAAAGCCCGTGCGAATGGCAAACGTGACGGCCAAGGCGTCACGTCAAGCGACTCTGGCATCGCGCCCGTCGCCTTCGTGGGGGCTCCACTCGTGAAATACCAAATTTCACGTTGCCAAGTGAAGCCGGCCGACGCCGCGCTCCGGCCGCGTGTTCCTTCGCTCTTTCCGCATCGGCCAAGGGCTAGCCCGAAATCGGGGACACTTTAGATCGGCGCCCCGTTGCTCTCTGGGGTCGCGCCGGACGTGACAAAAATGATCGGTCCCTGCATATTTTCAAGAAATGCGGCTCGAAATTCAATTCAATTGCGAGCGACGCGAGAGTGTCGAGAGGAGTCAGATGAGGTGGCTCGGGCAAGAGCTTCGGCCGCCCCCGCCGCCGTGAATTGCTGATTTTTTTGGCCGGCACGCTGCCGCAAAAACCAACAAGAAAGTTCAAGCGCGCACTGCCAGCAGGCAAGGCGGTCGCGGTGGCTCTCTGCGGCGCGGCGCGCACACGCGCTGACCTTAGCGAAACGCACGTGCCGACGAGGCCGCGCCAAAGCGCTCCGGGGCCCCCAAAACGAGGGCCGCCCGCCGCGTTGGCCTCAAATGACTTTTGCTCGTCGGAACCAAACGTCTCGCGGGTCGGGGCCCCCGGAATCGACTCGGCCGAAAAGTCCCAAGAAGCCACGCCCGACGGGTCCGACGGCGACCGCGTTTCATGGAGGAATGCCGAGCTCTGACGACTCGCCAGACAAGGACAAATGCAAAATCTGTTCTTACCAGAACCACCACGGGGTCGCGCAGCGGTCCGTCGGTGTGCAGCGTTTCCACGTCTTCCTCGATGCTGTAGTGCCACTCCACGCCCAAATCGATGAAGCTCCTGGACTTGACCTCCTCTCCTTTGCCGTTGAGGATGTAGTGGCCCGTCGCCTGGTTCTTGATCGCTGCAACGGCGGCCGTTTGTGATCAACCCACGAAAAACCTCTCCGCTCGTCAATCCCGACGCGAGGCGATGGAAGTGATCCGCTTTGGGGTGCAAAGGCAAGGCGGTGCGCTGCGGATGAGCTCGAATGGAGCTGTTCGCACCCACGCGACACCTTTTCCAAAGCGTTACGTATCCTGCCAATCTGATGCAAACATATATGTTATATATATAGATATATAGATATATGTTTCATATATCTGTATATAGATATATCTATATATAGATATCTATCTATATATAGATAGATAGATAGACATATATATTTATATAGATATATATCAAGATAGTCCCCACGTGTGATTGTGAGCACAAATGGTTGTTTGTGGATGTGAGCCCTTTTGTCGATTGGCCGACGACCAGTTGAGGGTGTCCCCCGCCTGATACCGGGATAGGCTCCAGCACGACACTCCCGAGGATAAGCGCAGCAGGTCTCCCCGTTTTATGTTAAGAAGAGAGGACCGCAAAGCAACGCGTGAGCCGTCGAGGTCGACGGTCACAGAAAGGCTCGGCTAAAATGTGAATCGGACGCGCCGCCACAGCCCCAAACAAAAAGCATCATCATCTGCGGCTGCATGATTTATTTTGGGGCCGTCGTGACGACTCGGGGCGCGGGCGTCCCGTCATCGCCAGAGAGGCAGGCGCAAGAGCCACGGGACGTTTTGGCTTTCGATGCTCAAATGGGACCTGGGACGCTCAAGCCCCGCCCCCCAACTCGAACAACCCCCATCCCCACTGCCTTCAAACATGTCTCCATGATTTGCTTGCGTGACATCACACTTACCAAGAATTTGAGGGGAGGCCTCATGTTCTTGGACGAGGACATGTCTCGCTCCGGGAGGAATGAGAAACATCTTAAGGGAGCCTTTGGCGTCGGCGCACGGGGCAGAAGCAAAAGAGGAAAACAGACAGGAGACGCGTGAGACGGGCACAATCGACGGCTTGGCGGGGGGTGGACATCCCGCACGCTTTGCTCTACCAAGGCGCCCCCCCACCCAGGAGGAGGACGAGAGAGGTTTTCATTGGCACGTGCAGGACGCTCAAGGCGCAAGGATGCTCCACTTAGCTTGCTGCGGAGAACTCATATGGGGGGAGGGGGGCATATGAATTTGGCTTCGCCAATGCGGGACCCTCATCTACTCCAATTTGGAGGTGGGAATTGTTCTGGCTTTGGCAGAAGTTTGTGCTAAATATTCGACTGCAGTGCGAATGAAAACCAAGCGACGACAAAGAGCAAAAAACAACCCCAAACAAAGCCCAAAACCGTCGAGTCTACTCGTGGGCAGCAAAGGCTGGCAGGGATGTCCGTCGCTCTTCCAAACCTCCCTCCCGGCACTCACCCATGACATTTCGAAAGTCGTCGCTCTCATTTAAAAAGACATTGCGAGCTCCTTTGGGCAACGAGAAGCCTCCTCTGGTTCTGCCTTTTGGGAGCAAAACAAAGCCGGTTAGTTGCTTTGCGGGCGAACGGATCACATCCAATCGGCGCGGCAGGTGGGACGCGCACGTACGCCGCTGTGAGCTCCGAACGAAACAGAAACATCAAGGTCATCCAAGAGTGTGTGCGCGGTTGTGAAAAGGGAAAACTTGGCGCGCAGGATCGACACGACGGTCGCCTTTTCAAAGGCTCCGAATTGCTTTTCTTGCTTTGGGTGCAATGTGGACTCACTCCAAAATATGGAAGACAGACTGGGAAATGTTTTTTTTGTTTCCATTTGCCCCTCCGCCGCTGGCGATCGATGGCCTTGGGGCCGGCCGGTCTGCGGGCTCGCGCTCGATGGCCATGGAGGCGGTGGGCAGCCCCTGATCCAAAGCGGCCCAGAAATCGGTGGGGCTCAAGGACATTTGGGCCAACTCAACCACGGGTGTCAAAGTCAAGGCCCGGGGGCCAGATCTGGCCTGCCGCGTCATTTTATTTGGCCCGCGTCAACTTCCTGGCTAAAGTCTGAAGCAAAATGTGAACAGTCCAGGATTCTGGACCTCTGCTTCTTGACTTCTGGTGTCAAAAGTCGTCATCGCTCGCTGTGTTTGTAATATGTCGAGCTGCTTCAACGTTGACGTGGTTTCACAAAATCCACCGTCGTAAGGGAAACCAAAAGGACAAAAATGACGTCGACACCCCCGAACCAAACGCAACGTATGCGACAGCGGCTTCGTCCCTGGAACGCGAGACGTTTGCGGAGGCATGCCAACGGGGAAGGCCACGAGACGCGCTTACGCTTGACTTCAATTGGAGAGGGGCGGGCTTCGGGGCGCCGGGCGGCTTACCGGCCTTCTTGGGGGTCCGGGTGAAGCTTCCTTTGACGGTGCGGCAGTGGGAGTTGTCGCCTCCGCAGACGCCGCACTTGTCCTCCGCTTTGCTGGAGCCCATTTCTCGGTCGCAGCCCACTTTCTGAAGAGCCCCCCGCCCGACACGAGAGAAAACCTTCACCCGCGCTCCTCAGCGGTCGGACTTTGTCCCGAAGGCGGCCGACGTTCAACGGCGCTAAAAGAAGCGCTCGGCGGGCCTTACCGCGCACTCGCCCCGAACGCAGACGCTGTAGGCGTCCTTGTACGAGCAGGGCGTGCCGTCGTGCACCAGCTGCTTCATGTACGCCACGTCGCCCGTTTCCTTGGACCGGCAGTGCAGGTGGCACCTCCTGTTGGCTGCAACGCAAGCGACGGGGTTAGCCGGGCCGCCTTCCGCTCGGCCCGCTTTGCCATCCGGGGCTCGGGTTCCATCGGGCGAAGGCGAGCGGCGCCTTTGCCCGATGGAATTTTCTCGTCTTTCGACGGCGCGCGTCACAGACGAGAGCGGCGTGCCGAGCAATGGCTTTCCTTCTTTTGTTTTTCAAATAGCGGTTATTTCTTGCCGCCCTCTTTAGTTCTGTTGGTCGAGGCGAAGTCTGACAAGAATTCTTGCCGAGGACAAGCGGCCCTTGCGCCCTTGCGCCACTGAGCACATTGTCATTCGCTTGACTTTCCACGAGGCGTCATCACTAATGGCAAGGAACAGCCGCCCATTTTACCTTCGTCGCCGTGTGATTGAGGAGGCCGTGACCCCCCCCCCCTCCCCCACCCCACTGTGGATTCTTTCAAGTCAGCTCGTGCATTTCCATTCATTAATGATCATCAATCGCGCTTTCTCTTCTACTTTTTATCCCCCCAAGCCCCCCAAAAAGATGATTGTGGCTGTTGTGGCTGTTGTTATCTTGCAAAGCAGCACGAGCGGGAGAGCCCCCCCCCGACTCACCGTCCGGATGCTCGTAGGGCAGCCAGTGGTGCTTGGCGCTTTGGAACTCAAAGTGGGGGTTGCGCAGGTGACACTGTTGCGCTCGGAAGTCCTCAAAGTGCTTGGGGCAGTCGGCCGTGTTGCAAAGCTGATACTCGAAGTTGACGCCCGGGCAATCCTGGCCGCCGTTGATGGGACTTGAGGCGGGGGGACGGGGGACGGGGGGGAGGACATTTTGGCAGTTAGCTTGCGCGGCTGGCCGTGGCCTTTCGGCTCCAAAGAAGAGAAGAAAAGAGAAGCCGCCTTCAAGCGACGCCGATGCGCTCCCTTGCTGCGCACGCAGCCCTTTAGTTCCACTCCCAAGAGAGATTTGACGGTCCTCGTCGGCTTCCTTATGGGAAAGCGCTCCCCTCGCATCAACGTGCCTACTTTGGGCTTTCTGCTTTGTTTTTTTCCCCCCTCCCCCCATATGGAATGTGCGTCAACCTTTTCTTTGACTGTCTCTCGGGCTACCGTGCCGGGTTGAAATTGAACGGCGGAAGAAAAGCCTCCGCGGGGATGGACGCGAACAGCGAGAAGAAGAGGCGGAAGGAAGAGTCGACGCGAACACGTGAGTTGTTTGCCGCCTAAATGCAAGAAGAATGCAAAAAAAAAAAAAAAGAGGCAAAGGTGGTAGTTACGCGGGGTGGTTGCAGTGGCGCGTGCGCAGGCGAACGCCGGTGCCGCAGGAGCGCGAGCAGGAGCCGTGTTTACTCCAGGAGCCCCAGGCGCCGTCTTGCTTCACCTGACTGGGGTTCTTCCACATGCAGTGACCCTTGTAGCACCACTAGAAGGAAGGCACGCCGCATGGCAGGAAGAAAAAAGACAAAAAAAAGACAGCTTGTGTATACATTTGAGGAATGGAAAGAGAGGTTTTGGAGCATTTTGGAAAAAGGGAGGCTGGTCCCGGGAAGCTCGTCTTTTCGGAAAAACCGGCCCGGTGGCCACGCCCCGCCGGCCAGCGATCTTTTGAGAACCGGCAAAGCGTAAGACGCGCAAAAGAGCCTCAAGACGACGCGAGCGGAGGACCTGGCTTTCAAGCTGCCATTCGTACTTGTTGACTTTGCCGGCTGCTCTCGTGTCCTCGCTTGGGTCAAGCGCGTCGACTTGCCTTGTGCGATCAAAATGAAACTGGCCTGGCCTGGCGTGGCCTCGATTATAGTGCGCTTGATAAAAACGCATCCTCCAATGATGATGAGGGTTCTTCTTTGGGAAGACTTTTCATCCTCAACAAAACGGCCTCTCTGGTTTCTGTGTGCGATTTGCGCGTCCATCGTGGCGACTGCATGACGGGTCACTTCAAATCGTTGTCTCGCACGACGCCTCATTTCACGTCGGCCTCGGTGACTCTCGGCATCACCGGCACAGCGGTCGCGCTTTGCGACGACAGCACCGGCGGTGCCCTGACACGAAGTCAAGACCGCAGGCGTCGCGTTCCAAATGCTCCATCCTGGCGCGGCTCAACCCCATCCGCTTTTACGTGCTCGGCCCGCAAGTCTCGATTCCCGATCTGACGGTTGGAGAGCACAAACGACGTCCTTCTCCCAGTTTTCCGTTGAGTCCCTCAGTCGACTGCAACCGGCACGGAAGCGCTGGAAAGCTCTTGTCGCGATTTGCCCGAGCCCCGCTTCAGAGTGAAAGCGAGCGGAGTCGGCCGCCGCCGCCGCCGCAGCGCGCCGCTCGGCCAAACTTGGCTGGCTCGCGCCCGACCCGTTGCGCATGTGTGCGAGGCATGGACGTCGAGTCGACGGGACCTACTTTGCCGGGCGCGCATTCGGTCCCGTCGAGGGGCGGGCCCTTCTTGGTCTTGCAGAAGTAAGGGTTGTCGGGGTGACTGCACCACAGCTGCTTACACGGGTCGAACGTGCGGAACTGAAAGACAGCAAAGAAAAGTGGCTTTGGGTCCGCGCGCGGAGACGCCGCCTGCCGAGCGCGCTCCGGATCCACGGACACCCTGAGGTGAAAACGCACACGGAAATCTTGACGCCGGCACCCGAGTGCTCGGTGGCGACTTTGAACCGGCCCCACCAAAACGTAACCGCGAAACGGCGTGGCGTGGAAGCGGCCGGGTCTGCCGCGCTTTTGGACTTGACGCGTTGCTGCGACACGTCTCATCGAGATGAAGAGATCGAATGCCGCCGTCGGCCGGCCGTATTGATCGACTGATTTTAAAACGTGATCAAACCACAGTTGGCCGAGCCTTTTCTTCATCCGTTTCCACGGAAAGACAAAAAACAAAGTCGAACGTTGCCAGCGATGGACATCGACGCCGCTCCTCATTGGGATTCCCGCTCACGGCGTTCCACATTCCAGTGGATGAGAAAGCGGCCCGTTGGAAACAACGCGCTCGCTGTCGCTACTGGCTTGGGACCAGGCGGCAAAAGCTGATGGAGGCTCCCAGCCAAAGCCGAGGCCGACTCTTGTGCGGTGACCGCTCATTCG